AGATAGATAGATAGATAGATAGATAGATAGATAGATAGATAGATAGACAGACAGACAGATAGAGATAGACAGACAGACAGATAGATAGATAAATAATGGTAGTGGATGAATGAATGAATGAAAATGAATGAATGATAGAATAGAATTAGATTGGAATGGAATAGAATAGAACAAAATAGAGTAGAATAGAACAGAATAGAATAGAATAGAATAGAATAGAATTCTTTATTGGGCAAGTGTGATTGGATTGGAATTTGTATTTGGTGCAAATGCTCTCAGTTTATATAAAGGAAAAAAATACATCAAGAATCATAAGATACAACACTGAGTGACAGTCATGGGTTACTACACAGCAATCAAATCATACTAGGAAACAAAGACAATATAAATTGTAAAGATACAAGCAACACGGTTATGGGAGGAGATGGGTACTAGGAAGTGTTATTATAATCTAATAGTAGAGGAATAATAGTAATACAGTCTTAGTAAATAGTTAGACGGTCTTGAGGGAATTATTTGTTTAGCAGAGTGATGGCATTTGGGGAAAAAACTGTCCTTGTGTCTAGTTGTTCTGGTGTGCAGGGCCCTATAGCGTCGCTTTGAGGGAAGGAGTTGAAACAGTTTATGTCTGGGATGTGGGGGGTCTGTAGATATTTTCTCAGCCCTCTTTTGGACTCGTGCAGGATACAGGTTGCTAGCCATTGTGTTGTTGTTTTTTCTGCAGTCCTAATTATCCTCTGAAGTCTGTCTCTGTCCTGTTGGGTTGCAGAGCCAAACCACGATTTGGAGGGTGTCCCAGAGAAAGCTGAGCCGGGAAGGGGACGAAATCTCTATCGAGCAAGGTTTTAACAAGACCCACCTCTCCCTACTTGGAACAGAATCCGTTGAGGGTCTTCTAACTCCGCAAAGGAAGAGATCCCGCCGTACGTTTCCTTGGCCCACCTCAAAAGTTGCTCGCTGGAGTAAGGTAGCAGGATTCTGGTAGAGTTGTGGTTGGAAGAAGGCATGACATAGCTATGAGGACTCTGCAGAAACAACACGAATAATGAGAACGATGTTGATAGACAGTATAGCATAAACACAGTTGGAAGGGATCTTAGAGGTCTTCTAGTCCAGCCCCCTGCTCAAGCAGGAGAACCTACACCATTTCAGACAATAGGCAGTCCTTGACTTGCGACAGTTCATTTAGTGACAACCAATCAGAACTGGCTGTATACCACCTCTGGCGTTTGTGTGGCCCATAAGACAATTTGCTATTTTGAGTTTTGCTCTTGGTGTTCTCTGCATTTCTCCCTGCCTGGAAATATCCTTGGAGCCCGCAGGATGAAAACTCTCGGAGTCCTTCTCTGCGCGGAAAGCTAATCTCCCTCTCGGATCAAAGGGGTTTTATATCCCATTGTTGTCTGCTGGGACTCCCGGGGGAAAAAAAAAAAAGAGAGAGAGAGAGAGAGAGAGAGACTCCAATCTTGGCGTCATCCAGCATCAATTCGGAAAGAGGTCGGCCGCCTTCAAAACAGGCCTTTGTGAGTCTGTCCTGGGAGGGCGGAGAAGCGCATCCCTTCCCCGAGAAATAGTTTTGCAATTCCCCCTTTTCAAAATAATAATTAATAACAACAACAACAACATGGGCCCCATTTCTTAAAGGATGCTGAATTTTGCTGATGTTTTGGTTTTGGTGGTCTTAGTTGTATGAATGAGTTAGGTTAGTAAATCAGTTTTGAGGAATGTTAAAGACTCTTTTGGCTTTATTAAGGCGGTTAGGAAATTACCTTTAAACTTTTTTTCTCTTTCTTTTTTCCTTCTTTCCTTCCTTCCCTTCCTCTCTCTCCCCCCCTTTCTTTCTTTCTTTCTTTCTTTCTTTCTTTCTTTCTTTCTTTCTTTCTTTCCCTTTCCCTCCCTCCCTTTCCCCCTCCTCTCTCTCTTACCTAAGAAGGTAAGGATCTCACCACTAAGTTGCTCAATTATTATATTGAATATATTGAATTATATTCAATATATTGAGTTATTGAACACTCAGGGAGCAATCAATCAATACAGTGAATTTATCCATTGCTTCCCAGTCCATTTCCTCTGGCCTTTTAAAATGAATTCATTCTGATTTTAGTTCCATGAAATTGGACTTAAGGCTTGGGGAAAAAGGAGACCAGCTGGGAATTTTTTCTTTCTCTCTTTCTTCTTTTCTTTCTTTCTTTCTTTCTTTCTTTCTTTCTTTCTTTCTTTCTTT